AGGAAAAGTTTTTTATTTACGTGTAATATTATTTTAATGAAAAATGTGTGGTTGAAAATGAGTACTTTAGAAAAAATAGAATGATTGTCAAACAAAGCCTTAATGCCCTCATCAGTTCTATCTTTCTCATAATAAAGCATTTTATTGCTTGTACCACTATTTCTTAGGAAGCTTGGAAATTCCTTGCCTCTTGCGATGCTAAACCATCACATGGTTGCATTCTTCTGGTTAAAAGACAATCTAGAAAACCGAAAAAAAGTAATTAAAGTGTTGGTGAATTTAGAAAGGGTAAAAGGTCATGCAGATAAACTTGCACTTCTTGGTGTGCCCATGGTTGAAGATCTCATCGAAAAATTTCTCAGTGGCCCTGGTGAAGAATTTTGTGATTTTCTGTCTGCGGTTCAAGCCCTTGGTACACCCATCTTGTTTGGAGGATTTCATGAGAAATTTATCACATTTGAATCCTTTCAATGCTGCAAGAATCTAGTACAGTCATTGGTTCTTGCTATTGCAAACCTAGCCAAAAATTTTTTGGGACAATGCAATAAATTAGGAACCGCTCCTTATCTTCCTTGGGAACAAACACTGGCGGCCACTAGGATCAACGTATTCATCTAGCCATACCAATTGGTGATTGTCCACCACCATGACCATACCTAGGCAGGTGACATGTGCCAGGTGGCTAAACGATGTCCTTCATTTGGACTTCCTCTCTTGTATCAAGCATTGCAGAACTGCCAATTTGATCCTACAACTGTAATAACAATCATAAGTTACATTTCGTTATCTTATCTCTTCAAACTTTTGAACCACTTAAAATAATTTTCTCTGTTGTTTGGACCTCCTCCATTATTTTCAGTAATGATTTCGAAGACTATTATATTTGTTGACCATTACACCAAATACATTTGGTTTTAGCCACTTAAGCATAAATTCTACGAGCATAACATCTTCATTCACTTCAAAGCACTTGTTAAAACTAATTCTCCTGCTTCTCCTACAAAATCATCAACTTATATCGACAATGGTAGGGAGTTCATTGGATTGAATAATCTTCTAGTTCTTCGATAATATTTGTATCAATTCTTATTTTGTGTTAGTATTGATTCCGTGGTCTAACTGTTCATATCAAATAGCAAAATACTAGAGTTACTGAACTTTTGGCTTAATATAATCTTTGCTTCAATTGTGCTAATGTTAGTTTCGAGCCTTTTTTTTTTTTTTTTCATTTAGAGATACTTGCCAATTTTAATAAAAATCTTGGACATCCAATAGCTACTCAATAGGTGAACGAACATATAGTCTATTCTAACTTCATCCCAATTAGTAAGTTATTAAATAATAAATTATAAGTGGATGATCAATGACTTAACTACATCCATGATACAAAAATAATATAATGTCCATAAATTTGATACAAGAAAATGTCATGTGAAATAATAGAATATAACATGATATAATCGTCAAATATTAGTGCCTAATCAATAGCACAAAATCTGTTGTATATTATTACTCAGAGATAAATATTTATTCATAAAATTCATATTTTGATAACATCTCTTGATGATATCAAAACATATAATTTTTATTTATCATTATTTTTTTTGAGGAATATTGAATATCTAGAAAGCCTTTTTCTTCAAGAGCAATAATATATTATTTCTATAAACATCAACACAGAAAGTTTAATTTTTAATTAAAAAATTTATAACGTAATATTCTTCTAAAATATTAATAGATTATGTAATTTTGATTTCAAAAAAGTCACAATTAAAAATAGATAGTAACTTTCAGGATCTAATACAAATTATAAAAAAAAAAATTAAATTAAATAGTCATGTACCGTAATTGACTATTTAAAATCCTTGTAGGATTTTTAAATAAGTATAATGTGTGTATATGTGTGTGTGTGTGTGTGTATTAGAACGCTAATTTGTATAAAATTGTACTTCTTCAAGTTTTTAAACATAATACTTTTTCTGAAATATCAATATGGACAAAATCATTCTTTAAAATAAAAAAACCCAGTATTATTCTAGAATGAATGAATATTAGAATATTTGTATAGAAATTATAATTTTTCAGGTGGATTAACATATTTATTAGATTTAGAATTGTATAAAGTTAATCTTCGAAACTAATACAATATTCTTCTAAAATTTAATTTATATGAAATTTTGATTTCTTTATAAATAAAATGATAATATTTTCCTTAAATATTTATGTAGTCGTGTTATGTTTTTCAGAAATATCAACAAATGTTTCTTTATACCATTCATTTTTAAGTTGCGTTCTTAAAAGAGTAACACCATAATAATATTTTGAAATATAACTAGGGCTGGGCAAATCTCCCGAACCGAACCCGAACCGAACTAAATCGAACCCGATGGCTCTTGTCAAATTAAATACCCGAACGAGTATCTGAATTGAGAACCGACGGGTACGGTTCGGTTCTCGGTTCTAGATCAAGAACCGAAAAATCGAATAAGAACCGAATCTTTCTAATTTTTTTTATATTGAGTACTAACAATTTTTAAATCCAAATTTTTGGCCCAATAATTTATTTCATTTCTAATTTTTTAATTTTTGGCCCAATTACCCATTTTATTATTTCATTTCTTAGCTCAATAAGATCAAATCCACTAAATAACCCTAAACACATACACTAAAGGGCATAACGTTGTCTCGATTCTCGCACTCATTCTCGCAGCCTCGCTAACATTCCAAAACCTATACAATCGTCGGCCGACGCTGTGACCTCCGATCAAAATTGTGACCTCTGCCGACCGAAATTTTGACCGTAGCGATCATTTGAATAAGGTAATCTACTAGTTTCTGACATTCCAAAACCATTGAATGTATCATTAGTTGTATTTATATAATGTTGTTATAAATGTTAAAAAATTTAATTATAGTATAGAATCGAACCGAACCGAACCAAACCCGAACGGTTCCATAATTATATTTGGACCCGACGATTCCATTTACGAGATACCCGAAAATTTTGGTTCGGGTCGATTCTCTTTAGAACTGAACCGAACCAACCCGCGCCACTCCTAAATATAACTAAGAGTATGAAGCTTCTTATAGAGTATTAATATAATATTCTTTTTGAATATTTTTAATGTGCGTAGAATTGTTCATCTACAAGAGAAGCATAAAAATATTCATATTAAATAATGCATAACAATAATACAATAATTTTCTAGAATATTGTTTTTAATATGGTTACCCCAAGAGTACAAATACAATATTCTTTGAAATATTGAAAAGAGCTAATAAATTACATTGAAACAATATATGTCTATTGTCAAAGAATATAACCAAAATAATATAATCAAATCAAATAACGTATAACACTTTGTCGTTATACAATTAAAAAAAAAAAAAGGAATACTGACACTTTCTTTTTAAAGAGAAGCGAAGAGTTTCTTTGTGATTGAGCTCTGTGGCTTTTGAAATAATGAAAAAGAATCCAATTTATTATTTATTAGTCAATTGGGTAAAGTTTCGTGCTAATAACATGTCATAATAGTAAGAAAAAATGAACAATAGAAGAAAAGTAATAAAGTCAAAATTCAAGTGTCTTCATTAAATCAACGATTCCTATATATGGTTTAAATGAAAGTTATACTTCAAATAGAACACACTCGTTTAGAGTAAATCTATATATTCTAATAGAACTAAATAATCATTGATAATTATTTATATATTTATAGCAGTTTTTATCAATTTAAAAGACGATAAATGATAAATATGACATTACTGAAATTTTGAACTACATCAAACATATTTCACTAAGCCCTTATTCGACTCTCTTTAGTTCAAAATTTTTTATTTCTCATATTTATTTTTATTCACACTTTCACATAATAAATTATTTTGCATGTAAACTCAATTTTTTTCTAACCTTTTAATCAAACATTTTCTAAAAAATTACTCTTCAAAATATCATTTTCCCCAATTCCCCTTTTATAATTTCAACAAACATAGGCTAAAAGTTCAATAAAAGGTTTGACAAAACTCCCTAAAATATGAATTATTGAGATCACATGTACATAGACAGGCACAACTGATATTGACTTAACTGAACTTTGAACAGTTTCAAAACACTTTAATTTTATTTTTTTTAAGTGAAATTTAAAATAAATAATTTTTTTACTTAATTAAAGTAGAAACAAGTTGTTATTTTCCTTGAATTTGTGGCTTCTAAAAATTCTAAGAAAAGAAACGTTGGCAGAATTTTAATATACATTCCCTTATACTTATGAGTAATGTTTGGGGCTACAAAATAGACACTATAACTGTGTCCATAGTGCCGATGGAGGGGGCATCGGTCAGCATTATGGACACTGTTATGGTGTCCATTATATTCAAGAAGAATAATCATATACTTATTAATATTTTTATACATAAAATTTAATTTTAAAAATAAGATAATAATAAAATTCGAGAGGGATTTGAAGAGAGACCATATTCTCCGCTTCAACCTGATTTCTTTGACCGACTTGTACAGGGCAAGGCAAAATTGGAGGGCTTTTTTTATTTTATTATGAAAAATTGGGGGGTTTTTTTTTTTTTTTTTTTTATTATACTGTGTGTACACAATAGTGTGCACAAACATTACATCCTCCTCCTATGAAGGGATTCACATACGATAAAATATTCGTGGCTCCCTCCATGTGAGGGGAGTATAATCTATTGTGTACATCTTATGGTGTACACATAGAATAATCTTCTTCTTCATTTTATTTTATTTTATTTTTTCTCATCATCTATGGATAAAATAACCTAAAATTACGTAAAAGTAGGTTACAGGAACTCTTAAGCTTAGCCAAATATTGTGTAATTGTTCTTGTTGAAGAGAGAACATTTTTGAGCTTCTCGGATAACTTATAATCTCAGCAAAATAATTGGACCTCTGTCAAGACAAAACATACTCCATTATTTTATTCTTATCCTTTCCAATAAAGCTGTTTTATGCCAAATATCTGAAAATCACTTCATGTTTTTTTAATCTGACACCACACTCCCCTTTTAAATATTTGTAAATTCGGTCATTTTTTTGAGAAATCTGAGACAAACCCAGTTCCCGTGACACTATTTTCTTGTCTTTAGAACCGGAAAGAAAACTGCAGAATTGGATCTTCATTCTTGCCATTAATGGAGAATGTTCTGTTCTTGAGCTAAGGTTTAATTTTTATGGCTGTGATTTATTTTCGTTCTTGTTCAAAAAATTGGAGGTGCGTATTGGCCTATTGGGTAGATCTTTTTCTCGCATTATATTTAGTTTTTAGCGTTACCTATTGAATGGTTCTTTGATTATCTGCTGATGTTTTAATTAATTATGCTGTAAATTTTTATACTTTTTATATTACTGGTTTGATGCTGTAGATTTTTAGAGATTAATAGCGTAGAAAATTTTCATATTCTTTTTAAATTATTCTTACTTTGGTTGGATTCTGAGTTATTGTTTTATCTTTCAAGTGCGTAAATGCTACTAAAGTTTCTTATTTTGATTCATATTTTGTAGAAATTTTGATTAGTTGGATTGGCAGTGAAGCTTCTATATTCGATCAATTAATGGGATTTCAAATCTCATTATTCTTCGTCTTACTACTAGTGTTTTCCACATCAATTTTGGCACAAGATTTGGACGATGCAAGACTTGTCATCGATGCAAACACAACTATTGCTGAAACAGACGACAATTATATATGTGCTACTATTGATTGGTGGCCTCATGATAAGTGTAACTATAACCAATGCCCGTGGAATTTTTCATCTGTTATAAATCTTGTAAGAATTTTTTGGCTTTCTAATATTTACCGATGATTTGATTTAGATATGTTTTCATTATTATTTTACTTCAATTGTCAGGATTTGTCCCACCCTTTTCTTGCCAATGCCATTCAAGGTTTGCATATTCACATTGCTTCGTCATCAAAAATGTTTCCATTAAGTGCACTAGAACTGAAAAAATGAATTTTTGTGCTCTCCTAAGTTATATCTTAGCTTTAGTAACTTCGTATTTCATTTTGTTGCTCAACAGCTTTCAAGAATTTGAGATTAAGACTTGGTGGTTCTTTGCAAGATCAAGTACTTTATGATGTGGGGAATTTAAAGACTCCATGCAAACAATTTGGGAAGGATAAATCTGGGTTATTTGGATTTTCCAAGGGATGCTTACATATGAAAAGATGGGATGAGCTGAATAAATTTTTCAAGAGGACTGGGTAAGATCCAGTTTTCAATGTTCATTTACATATAATGATGAGCATGTCACTTGCATGGGACTGAGATTTGACCATTGAACACTTAATCTAAAATCACAACAATAGTTACTTAGTTTGGCTGATCTATGTCCATGCAAAATCCATTTAAGAAGGAAAAAATCACGAGAATTAATTAATGAAGAGATCTTGAATGACTATCTAAAATTTTGATGAGAAAAATAAGCCCCCCATCTATGTAAATTTAGTGAACGACAAAACATGGTATACTTTATGTGTTATTTGGGCTTCAGAATTCAAGGTATACTTAATATTTGTTTTTTTTTTTTCCCTTCTCTATACCTCTCCTCTGTCCTTATGAATCCAATGACTTGCATCCCAGAATAAATAAACGATGCAACTGCTAACACTATCCTTGGACAAATGTTCACAGAATTTAACACCTCAAAGGTTTCTTTTTCATATTTAAATTCCATCAATTGTTTGGTTGAGTCATTGTTAATTCTAGGAGGAAAAGAAAACAAAACAAAAAAATGAGCTTCCGACTATTAAGAACCTTATATCAAGAACTCAGCTATACTTGGCTTGACATTCATAGCTCTGTTAGCTTAATCGTATAAACAAATGTAATTTTTTGTTGTAAGAGAGGATATGTAACCCTTCATAGGTTTCTTTTGTGAGTTATGGAATTGTTACATCAAAAGTTTGCCTGGGTTATTGTTAATTCTATTGAAAAAACAAAGCAAAATTGAACTTCTGAAGGAATTTAGAGGGTTAAATCTAAAACTCAGATGGGTTGGCTTGTCGTTCATAGCTCTTTTAGGGTCATTTATAAACAAATGATATTTGGTAGTCTGGCATATTTCTTGAAAAATTTACGAACTAATTTCAGACTAATCAATGCGGCACACTTTTCCATCTCTTGAAGAGTGATCTTTTGGTGTCCACATAATTGAAATTTTGGCTACACGAGTGTTCTCCCATGCATGCATTCGGGTTTGAAATGAGTTTGGAGTAGATAGTAGTTGGGTTTAAATTAATTCGTTTCTGATTGTTAGAGTTTTCTGTTCGGTTCACAGAAACCATCATGATTCTTAAAATCCTATCTAGTTCTGTTTTGATGTCTTTGCAGAGCTGTGGTGACATTTGGCTTGAATGCATTACATGGGAGGCATCATTCTGGAAGAGGTTCTTGGAAGGGAGATTGGGATTCCAGCAATGCTCACGATTTCATTAAATACACTATCTCCAAGGGTTATCGAATCGATTCTTGGGAATTTGGTAATAGTATTTTGACATGTGATTGTTTAGAGTGTGTTTGACTGAGCTCAGAAAGTTTACTTACAACCATAAGTAATAGCTAAAATGAATATATTTTTATTGATCAAAATTGAAACTAATTTAGGGGAGAATTGATCTCAAAATTAGTTCTTTTTTACTTCAAAAAGTACCTTTTGTAATATTTTTGTGAGAAAAAAGTTACTAAGAGTGACATATTTTTAACTTAGACAAATATGGTCTTAGCCAATTTTAGAATTCTCAACTTTGTGAACTAGAAAGGTTTACTTTTCTCACTTTCTCCTTGTCTTTTATGTTGCAGGTAACGAGTTGTCTGGCAAGGGAGTAGGTGCAAGTGTTGGTGCCAAGCAGTATGGAAAAGATTTAATACATCTAAATTCTATCATAGACGAATTGTATACAAACTTCGAGCCAAAACCTATTCTCTTGGCACCAGGAGGGTTCTATGATAAGTCGTGGTTTGAACAGCTACTTCAGGTTTCAGGTCCACGTGTTGTTAATGCTTTGACACATCACATATATAATTTGGGTCCAGGTTGGTATTTCTTGTCACTTATTTCATTGCAAATATCATGGTTCTTGTGCATTTATATTATTGCAAGATCCAAAATCAGTTAATCAATCTGGATTCTGTGCTAAAACTGTAACATTTTGTTGTTTGCCAGTGTAAACGGAGTCTTAAGGCTCTTAGCTAAGTAACAACTTGTCATGTATTCAATTCAGTGAGTCTTTTGACCTTAAATTATTTATTGCACATTTGTGAAGATAAGCAAAACTTTATTGAATCTATTCATTGCATTTGGGTATTGATTATTTCTGTAAACACTTGGTAAATTTATGTCGTCATAAGATAATAAATGGCAGAGTGTTATACATTTCACTCAATTTCCCTTTTAGGATCATGGTCGAAGATAAAATTACATGTCAGAAAAAGCATTGACCACTTCAGATGTGGCTCGTCCATTTGTTTTTCAATGATCTCCAGTCTCCACTAGATTCTTTTGTTCAGTTCTAATGTTGTGAAGGTGAAGTCCGGGGAACCGTGCACAAAAGTCATGTCAATTGTTATTCATTCCTTAACAAGAATTGACAAAAAAAGCTATTGCAATATTGCATTATGATAAGAAAAATATTCAGTTTTCCAATTATTTATTAACATGAAGTAACTTCATCAATTATTTATGTGCGTATGACAGTGCCTGAATGTACTAGAAGGGCAAAAGTTCTGATTAGTAACCTCTTCACATTTCAGGGAATGATCACAATCTCATTAAAAAAATCCTGGATCCTGATCACTTGAATAAAATATCAGCCACATTCAGAAATCTTTCGCTCACCATTCGAATGAATGGTCCTTGGGCTTCTGCTTGGGTTGGCGAATCAGGTGGTGCCTACAACAGTGGCGGTCCTAATGTATCTGACACATTTGTTGACAGCTTTTGGTAAATTTTCTGCTTTTCTTGCACTACTTACAGTTCATAAACTCTAATTATGCTTCATATTGAAGAGATCGAGAATTGGTATGCATGATTTTGAGCATGTTCGGCTCAGCTTAAAAAATAAGTAAAAGTTACTTTTGACTTTTTGTTTCTTTTGGCTGAGTTATTTTTTAGTTATTTTCAAGGAAATAAGATACTTATTTCAAAGGTAACTCTTAACCTATTATCAAATAAGCTTATTTATGTCTAATTACGATCAATCAAAACATTATTTATTTTAGTTTTTACTTTTTAACTTATAAGTGAACTTTTTAAGCTTAGCCAAATGGATTCTCAGACAAAAGTGAACGTCTTCATCTGTGTATGGAATGTAGGTATCTAGATCAGCTCGGGATGGCGGCCAAGTACGATACTAAAGTATATTGCAGGCAAACTTTTATTGGTGGAAACTATGGGCTTCTTAATGCAAGTACATTTGTTCCAAATCCTGATTTTTACAGGCAAGTATAATGACTACATAATTAAGATAAGCTTCTCCTTTATGGCTGTTTAGATAAATCTAAAGTAACATCTACAATGCAGTGCACTTCTCTGGCATCGGCTTATGGGAAAAGGAGTTCTCGATGTTAACGGCCATAGATCCTCGTATTTGCGCTCGTATGCTCATTGTTCAAAAGAAAGAGTAAGAACTTTGTTTATCACACATTGTTTACACTGATAAAATATGACAAATTTCATGCTTGTACTTCCAAATTTGTATTTGGATGATATGTGAAGGAAATATTTACATATAGAACCGGTAATGTGCAAGTGCACAAGACATGAATTATCATCTTTTGCATGCTTCAATTCTGTACTATAGATTTCTCTGTGTTCAGTGCTGAGCCAAGTCTTGCACGGTAATAAAATTAACAGATAGCAGTAGAATTCTCTTTGTTCTTTTCTTTGCTACTTGCTTTTGAATGTTTAAACTATGCAAATTTTGTTTCTTTTCTGTTGATGCTCAAGGATCCACTGCAGTTCATCTGGTTCTTTTTTACTTCAAAAAGTACCTTTTGTAATATTTTTGTGAGAAAAAAGTTACTAAGAGTGACATATTTTTAACTTAGACAAATATGGTCTTAGCCAATTTTAGAATTCTCAACTTTGTGAACTAGAAAGGTTTACTTTTCTCACTTTCTCCTTGTCTTTTATGTTGCAGGTAACGAGTTGTCTGGCAAGGGAGTAGGTGCAAGTGTTGGTGCCAAGCAGTATGGAAAAGATTTAATACATCTAAATTCTATCATAGACGAATTGTATACAAACTTCGAGCCAAAACCTATTCTCTTGGCACCAGGAGGGTTCTATGATAAGTCGTGGTTTGAACAGCTACTTCAGGTTTCAGGTCCACGTGTTGTTAATGCTTTGACACATCACATATATAATTTGGGTCCAGGTTGGTATTTCTTGTCACTTATTTCATTGCAAATATCATGGTTCTTGTGCATTTATATTATTGCAAGATCCAAAATCAGTTAATCAATCTGGATTCTGTGCTAAAACTGTAACATTTTGTTGTTTGCCAGTGTAAACGGAGTCTTAAGGCTCTTAGCTAAGTAACAACTTGTCATGTATTCAATTCAGTGAGTCTTTTGACCTTAAATTATTTATTGCACATTTGTGAAGATAAGCAAAACTTTATTGAATCTATTCATTGCATTTGGGTATTGATTATTTCTGTAAACACTTGGTAAATTTATGTCGTCATAAGATAATAAATGGCAGAGTGTTATACATTTCACTCAATTTCCCTTTTAGGATCATGGTCGAAGATAAAATTACATGTCAGAAAAAGCATTGACCACTTCAGATGTGGCTCGTCCATTTGTTTTTCAATGATCTCCAGTCTCCACTAGATTCTTTTGTTCAGTTCTAATGTTGTGAAGGTGAAGTCCGGGGAACCGTGCACAAAAGTCATGTCAATTGTTATTCATTCCTTAACAAGAATTGACAAAAAAAGCTATTGCAATATTGCATTATGATAAGAAAAATATTCAGTTTTCCAATTATTTATTAACATGAAGTAACTTCATCAATTATTTATGTGCGTATGACAGTGCCTGAATGTACTAGAAGGGCAAAAGTTCTGATTAGTAACCTCTTCACATTTCAGGGAATGATCACAATCTCATTAAAAAAATCCTGGATCCTGATCACTTGAATAAAATATCAGCCACATTCAGAAATCTTTCGCTCACCATTCGAATGAATGGTCCTTGGGCTTCTGCTTGGGTTGGCGAATCAGGTGGTGCCTACAACAGTGGCGGTCCTAATGTATCTGACACATTTGTTGACAGCTTTTGGTAAATTTTCTGCTTTTCTTGCACTACTTACAGTTCATAAACTCTAATTATGCTTCATATTGAAGAGATCGAGAATTGGTATGCATGATTTTGAGCATGTTCGGCTCAGCTTAAAAAATAAGTAAAAGTTACTTTTGACTTTTTGTTTCTTTTGGCTGAGTTATTTTTTAGTTATTTTCAAGGAAATAAGATACTTATTTCAAAGGTAACTCTTAACCTATTATCAAATAAGCTTATTTATGTCTAATTACGATCAATCAAAACATTATTTATTTTAGTTTTTACTTTTTAACTTATAAGTGAACTTTTTAAGCTTAGCCAAATGGATTCTCAGACAAAAGTGAACGTCTTCATCTGTGTATGGAATGTAGGTATCTAGATCAGCTCGGGATGGCGGCCAAGTACGATACTAAAGTATATTGCAGGCAAACTTTTATTGGTGGAAACTATGGGCTTCTTAATGCAAGTACATTTGTTCCAAATCCTGATTTTTACAGGCAAGTATAATGACTACATAATTAAGATAAGCTTCTCCTTTATGGCTGTTTAGATAAATCTAAAGTAACATCTACAATGCAGTGCACTTCTCTGGCATCGGCTTATGGGAAAAGGAGTGCTCGATGTTAACGGCCATAGATCCTCGTATTTGCGCTCGTATGCTCATTGTTCAAAAGAAAGAGTGAGAACTTTGTTTATCACACATTGTTTACACTGATAAAATATGACAAATTTCATGCTTGTACTTCCAAATTTGTATTTGGATGATATGTGAAGGAAATATTTACATATAGAACCGGTAATGTGCAAGTGCACAAGACATGAATTATCATCTTTTGCATGCTTCAATTCTGTACTATAGATTTCTCTGTGTTCAGTGCTGAGCCAAGTCTTGCACGGTAATAAAATTAACAGATAGCAGTAGAATTCTCTTTGTTCTTTTCTTTGCTACTTGCTTTTGAATGTTTAAACTATGCAAATTTTGTTTCTTTTCTGTTGATGCTCAAGGATCCACTGCAGTTCATCTGGAACTAGTTATCCCATCCTTGGGTTTACGCTATACAAATCTGTGGTATTTCTTGGTCAAAGACTTGTACATCTGAATAATTATCATCTTTTGCATGCTTCAATTCTGTACTATAGATTTCTCTGTGTTCAGTGCTGAGCCAAGTCTTGCACGGTAATAAAATTAACAGATAGCAGTAGAATTCTCTTTGTTCTTTTCTTTGCTACTTGCTTTTGAATGCTTAAACTATGTAAATTTTGTTTCTTTTCTGTTGATGCTCAAGGATCCACTGCAGTTCATCTGGAACTAGTTATCCCATCCTTGGGTTTACGCTATACAAATCTGTGGTATTTCTTGGTCAAAGACTTGTACATCTGAACTTTCTGCATCTTCATCAATCAGCAATGAAATTTATGCTTTCGGCATGTTTGTTAAGGAGGATTGAAGAGAACGGGACAGTATTACAAATTCTTAATCTACTAATTGCTTTGTCCTTGTTCCAGGCTGGTGTAACTTTACTTCTGATCAATCTAAGCAATCAAACTACGTTCAAAGTTGACGCCAAATGCACTGGCAATACAGAACTGCACTTGAAAGAGAGAGTCGATAACAGGAAAATGTATTTTGCTCACGGTCTTAAGAGGTCGTTTTCTTGGATCGGAAACAAAGCATCAGATGAAAGATTATTCCGAGAAGAATATCATTTAACTCCAGAGGCTGAGAACCTTCAAAGCAAAATCATGTTGCTGAATGGACAGGCACTGCAACTCACTGAAAGAGGAGACGTCCCAAATTTATCTCCAGTTCGTCGTGGTATAAATTCTCCCATAAATATTACTCCTTTATCCATCAAGTTCATAGTATTTCCCAACTTCAACAGTCCTGGGTGTAAATAGAGTCAGTAGATCAGTTCATATCTGTTTACCACAAGATGTATCAGATTGCTTTATTCTCTATTGCAGATTGTTGCCAATTTATTTTTTAGGAACAATAATGCAATTAATGTAGGGACATATATCCCACATATGGAAGACATTTGAATTATATGTATTCTTATTTAAGGGCATTTAGTACGATCTATTCGATGAGCATCTCCGGAATGTACGTTCTAAATTGAATAGAAGGCGTTACTACCTGTTGTGATCAATACACAGAGGAAGCCGAATGGAGATTTTCAAGGATACTTTACCTTTGTGATGAAGATGGAATATTCCATTTCAATGTCTTGTCATTTTCTTTTATATATTTACTATTTAGTACTTTTTATATTTTCTAAGAAACTTTACTAGATGGGTTTTTTTATGCAGCCGCCAATCTCATTTGGGATGCAATTGTTTGATTTAATCTGCTTGCATGGAAAAATACTTCACAGCCTTGCACCAGATGGAGGTGTGGCACCATCTGGTTTCATTTGCACTTTTTTTTTTTTTAGTCATTATCTGACAAATTGCTGTCAAATGTCTTCTGTATAAATTCTGGAAGCCAAATTCTGCATGTGTAGAATGAACTTTGTTACAGGTACCTGAAGTTTGACACTCTCGGGTTACCTGCTACTCACATGGGGGTTGGCGCCCCATGCCAATAAATGTGTGGGGTCCGACCCCCTCATTCATATCGGGTAACCCGGCGTGTCAAACGCCGGGTATAAATGGATTATTCGGGACACGTCGGGTATATATGGATTATTCGGTGTACAACTACTTGACTAAAGTTTAATAAAAGGAGTTTTCACCAATTTCAATTTACATTCCAGGTATTCATGAGGGAGCTATCTTAGATTAGCTTCCCATAAAAGTTCTTTTAGTCAGACAATGAGCTTTCAAAAAATAATCTCAATAAGCTCAAATGCATTTTCTTAGTATGAAATAATTATCTGAATTGGAAGATAGAACACAATATTCGCAAGAACAAAACACTTCGGAAGGTTTCTCTACATTGAAATTTTGAAATTTTAATATTTTTAATTCACAAGAATAACTAATTAATATAATAGTAAAGTTTTACTTTTTTATTATTTTTTTTCCCTAAAAAATTCAATACAAATTTGCATCCGATTTATTTTCTTAGGAAACTTTCATCGCAAATTAGGAACTAAAAAGAGACGGAATTAATTTCGTAGGAAATGAAATAGAGATTTGCAAATGGAAACAAAATCTTGGCAAATCTATCAAACTAAGTTATCGCTAAAATCATTGTTGATACCTGTCATAAAAAATTGTCGATATTTTTTTGACAAATATGTATATGTAGGTAAAATTTTCTTTAGGGGTTTCAATTATTGTAAGGGAAGTAGTCTTCTCGTTTACTGCTTTCATTTTTCCATATGTAACCACGGTATTTTTCCGTCACAAGTGAGGGCAAATTAATAAAATTTCAGAGGTACCGTCCTTTTTTAGCAAAAAAAAAGAAGAAGGGTAAAGTTGTCGGTAATCACCGACTATTATGTTGCCGTCAAAAAATTGTCGACATGACTATCACCTTTTTATGTACCGAAGAGAGAAAATGTGTTAGTAAAGTAAGATTATCAATGAAATATTAGTCTTTAATGAAAAGAATATCTAATATTGAAGCCGTTATTTCTAGTAGTGAATTGAAAATCAAAATCGCCATCATGTATTCACAAGATTATTCGTTAAAGCTTGAGTTCAAAACTTAAATGCATATCATGCTCACTTTTAGAATAACCTCAACTTCTATGAATCAAATGCAAAATAAGGAAAGCACTTCAAAATCTGCGAAGTTCAAAAATTAAATCCATATAGATTAAACCCAACTTAACTCGATTCTTTCTATAGCACATGTCTTTATCCAATATGTCTAGATTTGCCATTCTATATTTTGCTATAAGCACTAGAAAATGTAGCTTTATTGTCGCAATGAATTTAAACTGGTGGCGTTAGTTTAGACCAAATAGAAATTTCCCTCAATAAATTCCTTAGCCATTCTGCTTCCTTAACTACATGAAGCAAGTGCTATGAACTTGGCATCCATGGGGGGAGAACGCAATGCCTGTTTGCTTCTTTAAATCTCGTGACACGGCACCTCCACAAAACACGATCTTCTCCATTGGTGATCCAACCACAATCCGTAAATCCTTCCAAGACTAGAGGATAATCAGAATAATCTGTCTTAAATATTTTAAGATTCTATATATTTAGTACTCTAACCCGCTCTGATTGCTTGTATACCTAATTAGTTTTACTATGGCAAAAGCAATCTCCTAGCTTGTAGATGTCGTTGCTGATATCCGATAAACCCTGCATATTCTAAATGAGATACCGATATACCTATAAATAAGATAAAATAGGTAATAATTCTCTTTTTCCATAGTTCACAAGGAATAATTTTATTTCCCTCACTAGGAACTCTAATTAGAATGTGGCATCATGGAGTCAATAAGGCCTCACCCCAAATTCTCTATTTAATTCTGAATTAAACAACGTAGCATTAACCATTTCTGTTAAAAGTCCCGTGTTATCTTTCCATCACAATGTTATATGTTGTAGATGTTTCATGAGTAATACCTATTTTTTTGCAAAATTTAGGAAAGTCCTACCCAACTCCTCTATCGCTTCTACATCGTTAACTTTAGTGGTACAAAGGTTTTCTACTTTAGGCTTATAGATTTTAAAATTTTCTAGCACTTCATCTTTAGTATGCATAAGATTAACACGAAAAATAATAATAATGATAAATGACTAAAAAAAAAACCAAAGTTTGCCTCCTCTACTAAGAGTTCTATGGAAAATCACACATACATCAATATGCTCAAGTTGTCACAATAAGTTTTTTTTTCTTTGAATTTAGCGAATGGAATATTTGTTATTTTAGTTTGTACAAATTTACATTTTTTCATTCATGTTATGTTCATGGTTAAAGAACTAATTTAAGTAAACACATGAACTAGAGTTGCAACGCCATTCTATGCACTGATGGTGTTGATTCTTCTCAGACTCTATATCAATCAAATCAAATTTGTGTTTTTATTGATTGTAGCATGTTAAACAACATTTTTTATGGTTGTTGCTAAATCTATTTTGAATATTTAATAGTTTTGCAACATTTTAGAAGATTGTGATGGAACGGGATGATCTCTTTGATATGATAGACTTGGAATATGAAGCTCGGTATGGCGTATAGAGGGATCTGGGTTCTCTACATTTTAATGTGTCAAAAAACGCATAATTTATAATGCATGTTTGTACGTGGTAATATAGCACTTAATGATCTGCTAATTATATGTTAAATTATTTTCTTACTCAATATTGTTTATGTAATTTTTAATAATGAGGTCAAATTTTTGGTTAATTGGTAATTCTTCGTGTTACAATGAAGGACACGTGTGATCTTGAAGGATCGTGTTACTTCAATCATAATGATGATGGTTATGCAGAAGTAGGAAAAAAGCACAACTCAAATAGTTGGTGATGCGAATGTCCAATGGAAGAATGCTGATTAAGAAATAATGAATCTAATAGTAGTAATGACCAAGACCAACATGTAATTCCCTCTATAGTCATATATATAGAGAAGCATTACTAATAGATCATTGGTGCTTGGCACCCATCGAACTAATAGTGAGCCCATCTAGATTTGTTCAATAACCTTAAAAATAATGTGATTTATTAGTAATGCTTACCCATAAGCAGCGAGATGACATTTTTATATTACTTTAATCGTTTTGATCATTAATACCCACAATGTTTAAGTTCGTTTGTTATCTTGAAATGATGATATTTTTTTCTTCATGATTAGTTATATTAAATTCTTTATGATGGTTTTTATTGTGGGTAGGAGAAAAAAGTTGATTTTCAATAAAAATGGTTTAGCAGGTTTTATATAGGGCTAATTTTGTTGAAATAGAAATAGTAGGGAATAATTTAATTGATAATACAGTTGAAGGAGGTAATTATAATATTTATTCGAAAAAGGAAAATTGGACAATGTAGATAAATACCAATGGAAACTTTTGGTTTACTTTTCCCTGCTTTTCATTTGAGACAATATCTCTATTTATAGGAAGAGAATGGCGTCAGAATTTGTGGCCATTATTTATCATCTAGAAACTTCCTACAAAGATTAGCCCTTAACTCGTCTTGTTGCCCTAGTTTGTTTAGGTTTCTCTAGAATTTCTGGATATGTGCAACATATTCTCTAACTTTCATATTTTATAATCAATGTTCTAATAGTGTCTAGGAAGCACACAAAATGGGGTCAAATCTGACCACATAATGCGTACTAGGCATAATTATTATTATTATTTTCTGTAATTTTATTTCTTTTTTTGCTGGGGTGGCGGGCGGAGGGGCGGTTGAAATTTGAACCTTAAATTTTAAGAATTGAGATTCTTGAGTACTAACAATTGACAAAGATAGAAGAAAAAGCTCGTAACTCTTAAAGTGGAACATTTCCCTCAATTAACTCCAATGTCCTTAATATGAGAAATAGAAGCAACTAAGCAACAGTAAAGACGATCGAACCATAACTTTACCACCCATGGTATTTTTGTTCCTACTAGGGAGGGATCATACAATGCATGATCTCTACTATAACTTAAGAATTTAATTTTGTAAAATTTATTATGTTTTTTAGAGCAAAGAAATTGGTAAGATGAATGTATCATATTAGAAGTTAGAAAAACTACAAAAAAATACAATAGCTTCAGAATTAGATTGTTCACTTTTATTTATGTTTTCTTCATTATTTTAATAAAATTAGCATGCCTATGGTACAAATGTAGGTTAAAAAATATGAAAAATGAAAATGAACAAATAGTTAAAAATTTCTTCACAATTGGATATGCATAGCTAACAATTTTAATGAATCAAAGATCGTACCATATTGACAAACTTTTTAACAGATGGTGGAAATTTTCTATCAAGAAATAGAAGCATTTTTCATCAATACATAACCACAGTTAGAAGCTCAACAAACTAACTTCCAGTTTCTTTAACCTACTTCAAAACCTCCAAGTTGAATATTTAAGAATTATCAGTACATCGCAATTAACCTGCAAGTACACCACTGTCTACGTAAGACCACTTGGAAGTAAATACTGTAGCAATAGTTAGTCATGCATTCAAAATCAAATATCAACATTTCACTCATAAACAGATTGCTAGATAATAAATCAAAAGTATATGGTTGTACTTCAGATTTCAACTTTTCCCTAAACTAAGAG